TACGCCCACGTGATCTCGGTCGACGAATAAACACGTTCAAAAATCTCGTTCGTGATAATTAATAATAACATTTATAAGTACGTGACTATCGTATAAGTTTGACGTAACGGTATATCCATTGAGAATCAAATTTTAACTTACGTGTTGTAAAAATGATTAACTAAGTACCAAAAAGAAGAAAAAGAAAAAAGTCGAAAAAAAAAACTTACCGGTAGAATAAAATTATAGTAAAGAGATAAATCGTTGAAAATGATATTCTCCCAATCGTTGTTCTTCTTCGTACGAATAAAACTTAAAAAAACACCGAAAGACAAGGATTACAAACGTTTGGCTGTTTAAAAACAACATTAATTTATATATTTGTTATACATATTTCAAACGCGAGGAAACATTATTTTACGATTCGGTAAACGTTTTTCCTTTTTCTTTTTCAATTAGTTTTAATAGTTTAGCAAGAATTCACTCACTCATTCAATCACTCACTCACCGAGTTGCTCGCTCACTCTTATCGTTAATAAATCACAGCTAATCAATAATTACGTATGGCGTCTTAATTATCGGCGCATTGTCTTCTACGTAGTCACGGGGCGTGTAAATAAAATATGCAAGGAGAAAAAAAAACACGACGACGTTTCAACGACAGCAACGTGCAACAACGACTCTATTCGTTTATGTTAAATAAGTGGCCTTAGGCTACCGCCAGTCGTGTTTGGTACCGCCTTCGATAAGCTTCGATAATATTACGAGAACTCGATTCTTCCTTACACTTCCTTCTTCTTCTTCATCTTCGTCTTCTTCTTCCTCCTCATCCTCTTGTTTCTTCTTTTTTACTCCTGAGAAAGATTCGACCTAACGAAAAACTTTTTATACCCTTTCTACATTAATATTCATATACAAATTAAACATACATTCATGACGAATTTAAAAAAAAAAAACAAGTTTAAATTAATTAAACGATTTCTTTACAAAGTTCGGCTAATATTTCCATATTAACGCTTTCTTTTTTTGTTTTGTTTTTTTTTTTTTCGAATTAAACACACGTTATACTTGATCGAAAAATAATATTTTAACGAATTTATCTTAACTCGAGAATGATATCTAATCATTTCGTGAATATCACGCGAATTCTCGAACAAATAATCATTTTTTGTTCTCCATTTTATTTTGACCCCTCGCTGATATAATAAAAAGGTCATACATATAGCATACGTTTGATACATGTGATTATTCACGAGAAAAAAGAAGAAAAAAAGAATAAAATACGTCAAATTGAATAGGATCTACAAATTGACAAATTCTTATCTCTTCACAGGAAAAATACATATTATAACGTAATATAATATTAAATAATATTAAAAATAAGAGAAAGAGAGAAGAGATTTAAATAATCGTACGCGAGATGGGAGACAATAAAAAATACTGACGATTATTATCGCAATTGTCAAAGAATCATCGTTGTATTTTTATTATATTTTTTTATTATTTTTTTTTTATACGTCATCAAATCGTGCGTCAGAGACAAAAAAAAAAGATGAGACACGTGTTACGAAAAAGTCACTTTCAACAGAAATAATTTAAATTATACTTAATCAAACTTAGTAACGTTTTTCATAAATGCATATATCAAAAGATAAATTGATACAAAAAAAAAAAACCCCCCTTGTTGTAAACGTACAACATTATCATCGTCACGTACAAAAAAGAAACCTGTAATAAATTAAAATGGAAAGGAGAAAAAAAATAAATATTATTCGTCGATTTAATCAAAAAAAAAAAAAAAAAAAAAAGAAAAAACAGCGAAAGTTCAAATCTGTTTTCTCTTAAGTTTAGTAGGTCTACGACCTGAGATATTCGTCGTATAACGTCGAAATCGAGAATTCGATATAATCGTGGATCCGTAGTAGTAGTAGAGTTTGGGAACTGTAAACAAGGCTAAAGATCTTTGGACAGACGAATGCGGCGCCAACGTTACGCTGACGCAACACGTAAAAGGGGAGTAAACGGGAGACGATGTGTCTCCCGTGCGAAAGCCAACGTCGGTATTATCCCGAATTTACAGGAAGCACAGTCGGCGGCCTCCTCTTCTCTCCTCTTCTCTCCTCTCCTCTTCACCCGCTCGAACAAATCTAATTTTATCATGAGATACAAACACACACATGCATGCATACACACACTCTCTCTCATCCGCGAACACAACACGTACATATACCACAGAAAGTTTCGAAAAACGTTTGTTAACCTATCAACACGTATTAACATTACAATAATTTGTTAAAAAAAAAATAGGAAAAAAAACAAACGACGGAAGATTAAAAAAAATCTATAAAGTTGTATTTTATTTATTGGCAAAAAAAATAATAACGAGAATGTATTAAAAAATTATTCTTATTTACAAACTTACTTTTAATTGTTCATCTCTACGATTAAATTTCACTAACTCGGAATGAGGGTGAGGATATGGGTTGGTTGACGGTGGAGAATGGGGAAAGGGGAAGGATAGTTAAGATCGTTCAAAAAAAAAGATCATGAAAGGTCCGGGAACGTCGTAAAACGAAAAGAAGGGAAGGAGAAAAATGAAAACAAAAAAAAAACAAAAAAAAGATCGACTCGCAAAATCAGTGTGGTCAAAAAGGAAGGGAGGGGGTTGAGTAAAGAAAAAAAAAGAAAGAAGAAAAAGGGTTGAACCGTCTCTCTCTTTCTTCTTACGTAGGGGATGGGGTGAGGTGGGGTGGAAGGAGGAAGGGGACGCGTAAGGCAATAAATATCGTGCGATTAGAATCTCTGATGGCGGCGTTACGGCTGGTGCCATGGGGTTGTTGCTTACGAACAAGAGGGGAGCTGACTATTAATCATTCCATGTTAATCAAGCCGACCCGTTAAGTAGGCCGCACGTCGTTGCATTAAAGTGCACTGCCACGTATCGTATTTGCGTGCCAATGAGAAACGCATACACGCATCTAGATCAAATACAGTGTACGATGATGATGAGTATAGAAATAAGAACAACATAAAGAACAACAACAAAATAAGTATATGTGAGTGTGTAGGAAGAAAGAGGAAAAGAGAGAAAGAGAGAGAGAAGGTAGACTATTTTGGCCTCGTGTGTGGTTAGCCCTTTAGCCTCCTATTATTCGACTCTCAAAAGATTCAACCCGTGTATCCTTACCTACCGCAGACACGTGCACGTCCCTTCTCATTTTTGAGGAATTAATCGTGACTAATTGCCAGATCGGCCGAACAGTGTAACCCTTTTCCTTATTTTTTTTTCTATATATATTTTCTTTGATTTCTTTTTATGTCTTGTTTTCTCTCTCTCTTTTTTTGTTTCCGTTTTCTCACATCCTTTCTTCTTCAAAGAATTACAACTCGTTCGCGTATATAGTTTCCAGGATAATTTTGTATTCTACTTTAAATGAAATAATCTCAACCCTTTCTTCTTTCGCGAATTATTTCGTTAGAACGAGAGAAAATTATTTTCCAGATAAGAAAAATAAGAAAGGATAGATAGAAAGGAAATAAATGTTGAATTATCGAATAAAAATAAGATAACGTAATAAATAATTGATCGAGATTAAAAGAAACGCGAAAGAGGAAATATTCTTCTTTTTTTATTTTGGTGCGTAAGTTAAAATTGTATCCATTGATAAGGAGAAGTTCGGAATGTTTTTCAAAACTCTACGAAAGAGAAATATTTTCTCGAGAAAAAGAGAGAGAGAGAGAGAGAGAAACAGGAAGAGGGATCGATATCGCGGTTCGAAAGTTCAAGAATTCGAGTTACACATCGCGGATTTTCTAACATTCTCCTCGATCCGTCGCACCTCGAAACGGACGTAAAACTTCGACTAAAAGACTGATCGAAAGAAGAAACTACGAAAAGAGAGATAGAAATGGAAAGAGAGAAATAGAGAGAGAGAGAGAGATAGAGATAGAGATAGAAAGCAAAAGAGGAAGGAATCGCGAAAGCATAGAAAAGGAAACGCAGAGAAAGCACACTCTTTATGGACTTGTTTGTCCCTCCTCAAAGCTTTTTACAAATTATTCGAAAAGTTTGAACCAACCAGCGTCGAGACGTATCAACGAGGCTGTTTCGGACCACCGCTCGATAGTTAGATCCTACGATTATCGTTTTTACAGTAATTTTCTACCTGAAATATATTTCACGTGATTACGTTACTTTTACATTGTTCTTTTTTTTTTTTTAAGGATTCACGATAAGTCAGTTTATCTCGAACTTCTCTTGTTATTTTCTTTTAATGCTATATTAAACGTTCAAATTATTTTATAAAGTAAAAATAATCTCTTTTTATCTCTGTCTCTATCTCTATCTCTCTCTCTCTCTCTCTCTCATACTTTTTTTTCTTTATTTATTTAATTTTTTTTAAAGGATTAAGAAATTAGGTTCGATTGATCTAACAAGAAACTATAATCTCAATTTAAACGTTCATCGGTAACTTCGATTTTTTAAGACCAATGCTATATTCAAATATAACTACGTTTATTTTCATAATTATTAATAATTAACAAAAATTAAAACTATTAAACAATATTCTATAGAAACTCTAGAGAAAATTATTACCGAATTTTGTCAGAGATTTTTGAAATAACACTAACATTGATAAGAAACCTGACGCAGGATTGCTGATTTTAATAAAATTCAACTCTCGCCTACGTAGGGTTAAAATAAAACAAAAAAGAAAATGGGATCGTCGAAGTAAGAAATGTAAGTAAAAACTTATTCCCAGGATTTGAGGTTTTCTAACAGGAGATATTGCATCCCAATTGTTTCCGCGAGAATGATTTTTCCACCTCTTCAAAGTTTTCCGGTTTCGTCATCATCGTTGTTGATAGTTGTATTTTGTTGAGGGATCTTATTTAAACGCTTTACCGAATCTTTCTATTTTTCTCTCTCTCACACACACACACAATTTTTCTTTATATTTTTCGTGCATTCTGTATTGATTGCATTTAGTGGATTTAAGAATTTATGTATCATCGTGATGTAGGCAAGAATTCGTATAATGTGTTAACTTTTTGAAAAGATTTACATTACAGGCCGTTTGTTTAAAAAAATAAAATCCAATAAGATCGTCAATCGTATTCGAAGTTTGAACGATAAACGGCTTAGAAACTACTGCTTCTTCTTCTTCTTCTTCTTTAACTTTGTAACCAACTTCTTAAAAAGAGAAAGAAAAGTTGAAATAAGACTTTCTTAGATGATTCTTCTTGTAAGAGATCGATAAAGCTTCGAAAGTATACCACAAGAAGAAAAAGAAAAAGAAAAAGAAGAAGAAGAAACGTCAGCAGGCGCCAGAAATTTATCCAGGAATGAATATCACGTAGAAGAAGCTCGTACATTCATTTTATGATATAGGATGCGTGCGTTCAATGTGTACACCTACACGCATGATCCCTGACCAAGGTCTAATATTGAATCATTTTAATCTTTTGAAATAAGACATGTGCTTCTACATCATTCGAACGGATCTACATTTATGTGTTTTTAAACGACGATTGTGTACATCATTACGATATAACATAGTTCAGCTTTTATTCGTTCTTTTAATTGTCGACAGAAAATAATAACTTACCAATAAAGTGCGTTTATTTTAGACAATGTCGAACATAGCCTTAAACGTAAAGTAGTAGTAGTAGTAGTAGTAGTAAGTAGTAGTAATAGTAGTAGTAATAGTAGTAGTAGTAGTGTAGTAGTAGTAGTAGTAGTAGTTAGCAGTGAAATCTAAAAAAGATTTTGACTGATAATGAGAGCCGTGTTGTTCGAATAGAAAGACGACGATATAACATATTTCACATTTTTTTTTTTAGTCTAAATAATCGATGAGGCTACGAAAAAATCAACAAAGCTCCTTCGTTGATCTTAACATATTAGGAATAAAGATCGAGAGAAATATAAGTTTAAATTCGTCTAATTGTCCAGACGTTTTACTTTCGTTCTCTCGGATTTGCCCATGACCGTTCGCGAAATATGAACGGTGAGATCTTGAAAAAATCACATTTTCATTCTTTCTTTCTTTCTTTCTTTCTTTCTTTCTTTCTTTCTTTCTTCTTTTATCTTGAAAATCTTGCCATAAGGGGTTTTAAAACAACACTTTTGGGCGTACCGTGTAAATAACGTTACACACAACATATTTTACGTAAGTCTTAAAAATAATAATCGCCCATCCTATATAGCACATCATCACTTAGTCTGATGATATCGTCCTTTGGTTGTTGATCGTCGCAAATGTGAATTTGTCGATGAGACAGCCAAAAGATTTTCCTCGAATGTGTCCGCCGTGAAATCTTGTTCTTTAATCATTTTCGTAGTTATATTTCTAATTCTTCTAGTCGTACTGACTTCGCGTCTGGTCAGTCTCATTGAACTCCTAGGTAATACCGCCATCCCATTTCTAATCTGTGACTGCTGATGCTGATGTTTCTTTTTATTAGCTGCAAGTCGTTTAACACTAATTTGCCTAACTTGTGGCGGAGGTGGTGGCGGTGGGGGAGGCATTTTAGGAGGTGGTAATCGCGATTGCGGACCAGGTGGTAATCTAGGTGGTCCAGACATTCTTGATGGGCCTGGTAAACGATTTGGAAAAGCTGCTGGATGGAATCCTGAATTAACAACAGATCTCCTGAAATCTGGACCTGGTGGTAATGGTGGCATGGGTGCTCTCATAGCTGCTGGTGGTGGTGGTGGAAGTGGTGGTCCAAATCTTAATGGTCTTGGACCATACATTGGTGGACCAGGTGGTGGTGGTGGCATACCAGGTGGATGCGGAGGCATCGAGCCAAATCCATGTGGTGGAGCACCAAAACCGAAAGGTTGTGGTAGATATGGTGCTCCATTGGTAAATCCACGACGGTGTGGTTTATATCCTGGCGGTGGGCCCATAGGATATGGCACTGGTCTTGCTTTTGGATGTTTTACTCTTAACCTATATTGATCAAGAACTTTCCTAACTGGTATGGGATTGTTGTCTTTCCGTGTATTAATAGGTCGGGTCAGGCCAGTTTTGTTTATACCTTTCAATTCACCACGTGATATCTTTTTAAGTGCAGCAATATATTCTTCACGATAGATTGGATACCCACGTGCCTCTTCGAAAGCTGTAACGTTAAATTTTTGTTTGTTCTAATTGATACATGATTAATATATTCTATAGACGACATACGATTGTAATATAATATCTTTTCAAACCGAAATATAAATGTGATAATATGATATTTAAATAGCATCGATCGCGAAGCAATTATAAATATATATCACGCGATTTTTCTGTCTACTCTGTTCGTTCAAAAAAATCAATACCTGTAAACGATAGAAGATAGTACACGTTCAAAAGGTTTCTTTTTTACGATCCATCGTTAAGAACTTTAGGTTATTTTCCGCGATAAATGAAAATTGACTGGAGAGATCCACGTGACATTGTTTTCGTTTGTTTCCGCGTAAAAATAAATAATTCAATGATTCGTGCATATACATATTTTCGAAATCGTTATTACTTTTTTTACTATGGATACACGTCGGTTTAAATTCAATCGTGATTCTTACTATAATTTAATGTTTTTTTTCTCTTGTTTCGTTTTTTAATACAACGTTAAGCTCTTTGGTAAATAAAAAAAATTCAGTAAAAAGTTTTATTATTAATATACCTTGTAAGGAATCTTGAGACTCCCAGCCTTGTTTTTCAATGAGATACCTGTAATCGAATATTTAAATGAAAAATGTTGTCGATAAAAAAATAAATTTAGAGAATTAAATTAATATTATTAATGATATATTTGTTTTTATATAGAAAGTGATTAACCACGCGATTAGTATTATTTCCCTTACCTACAAATAAGATACCCAGTGCGGTTTATACCATGTGTGCAATGTACTCCTATGACATCGTCTGAAACAAAGAAGAAGATGACAAAAAAAATCAAAGTAAAATCAAACAAGAGTTAAAAAGTGGGAAAGAAAAGTTTTATGCATCGTTGAACACACAGGTTAGATTCTTAAATGAAAAATGTAACGAAACGTCGAACGTCATTTCACGAATATAACTAACGTCTGACGCACCAACTTCGATAACGTACTACTCCAAAACGTTTCGAGAAGTTAAAATAACTGGGTCACGCGAATTCGAAACTCCCCGAGTACGTTCAATTTTTAAAGTCCATAAATTTTTCGGAATGTGTCATTACCCCGAACAATGGCTGTGCCATCGGACACGGAATCGGGCAAAAACATGCGATCTGTTACGTAGATCCCTGATCTATTGCAAATAAATATCTTAAAACAAGCAATCGTGTGTTGTGTAATAAACTGGGTGTAATAAAAATTCTCTTTCTTCTTTTTTTTTCTTTTTTTTTTCCATACAATTAAAAAAAAAAAAAAGAATTGTCTTCGTTATATCCCAATAGAGTAAACAAAAATCAAACGTTCTCCAAAATGTATCGCAAAAGTTCAAATGATAGAGATAGAAACGAAATAATAACCGGGACACATCTAATTGCAGAAAAAATATACTCAAAGTAGGTTCAATAAAAAGATCCATGACAAAAAAGGGGGGCTACAATTTCCACGGGACATTAATTTCATATGAAGAAAGCATATATTTCCCCTTCTCTCTCTCTCTTTTTCTATTTTTTTTTCTCAACAGAATAGTACTCTTTGGTGTTTCGGCAAAAGGGCCTGAGATTATAATATTATCGCAAATAACAGTGAAAAACTGCGACGAATTCGAGAGATCGTGATTGGGGGAGAGTAAAGTCAGGTCATGGCGGCACCTTCTCAAAGTTCAACCTTAATGAGAGTGGTCTCCACTTTCTTTCCCTTTCATATAATATGTCTATATATTTTCTTTACCCTTTAACCTTTAACCCAGGAAAAGGAAAAAGAGATAAGTACCAACTACTTTCGTGGCAGTTTGTACCTCTTTACATCGTGCTTCGGTGCGAATTAAGTGGATGTCGGAGTACGCGTGATACGCCTGCCTGCCTGTTTCTCAATCTTCTTTTTTTCTTTTTTTTTTTTAAAAAAAAGAAACCCTTAAAATAAGGTCGTCGCGGGAGAGAAGCATTTTTTTCATATACATGCATTTCTCTTTTTACGTACTTCATATTAATTTAACAAATTTTACAAGTAGCTCGTACGTTATAAATTCTCCACGAACTTGGCCGTGAAATTTATTAAATTTAATGATTTTTCAAATCTACGAACAAGATCTTGAGCACGATTTGTAGAAAAAAAAATTTACGAAAGATCTAAGAAAAGAGAGAAAAAAAGAGAGAGAGTAAAAAAGAAAGGCCTAGAAAATATTTCACGTACGTAAGTAAAATTCTCTTTCATCGCAAACTGGATTCACGTTCGTTAACTATCACGAGGTCATCTCGAATGTTAAAGTTTCGTTTACGTGTGTGCATACATCTTTTAGGAATACGACGTAATTCTGAGAAGAATCACGTCTGGATCTAATGCGAATCTGGAGCGTGCACCCCTGTGGTGCACCAAAGACCTAACACGCCGGTAAATGAACCGATCTTCAACAAGATTACCGAGAAAAACCTTTTTCTACTCTCTCGACTTTTACTTCGAATCGATTTCCTCGATTTCTGCTTGTTTTGAAAATACTATTGAATTATCTTTATAGCTTTTTCCTAAACTTTTTCTTATCTAACGATATCGAACTTAACAGGTTTACCCACCTCCCCTAAAACGTTCCAAACTATTTGCCACGTTGGCATATATTTTGGTGCATGTCGTTTCACTTTTAATTTATGTAACACGTTACATTTTCTAGTTATTCAGATCCCTCAAACTTACTCCCAAAGTTTTTTTTTTCACGTACAATTCAGATAAACTTTGTTAGCAGCAGAATGAAAGGAAAGAAAAGGAAAAAAAGATAAAGAGAAAGAGAGAAAAAAAAAAACGTAGAATAAAATTAAAAAAAAAAGGAAACGTAATAAAAAAACAGTCAATCGAATACTTGTCAAAGATAAGTCTCGTTGTTTTCGTCAATACTTAAAATAAATAAATGTAAGAGCCGATGTGAATAAACGGTGCTTGAAAGACGATGGTTAAACGTCGACAAACTCTCTCGTACGTACATAAACGAGAAAATATTGTCATAGCGTGGGTGGAGTAAAAAAATTACTACGAGTGAGTTTTTGGAAGGGGGGGTTCGATTATATACCGCGGTATTAAATCAATCGCAAAGAAACGATCGAACATTTCTCAAGTATCTTCTTCGTATATTACGCGAAAACGGTGGTTAGATGGTAGTGATGACGTAAAATAAGAATAAGACACAATAATAAAGAGAGAGAAGGAGAGAAAGTGTGGTATAAGAAAAGGGTAAGGGATAATCTGCTAGGAGGCTTTTTAAAAAACGCCAAAGTTGTACGCCTTCGACGATGGATGCGAACGATTAACGACATCTTACGTTCCGCGTCCGATAAATCAGCAGCCACTGTAAATGGGATTCGCTGTAGGCTTATCTTTCTTTCCCATAAAGTGCCGCCTTCGGTGAAATCGCTAATGAGAAAATCTCGCGTGTCAGCGAACACATATATATATATGTTTTGCGTGTGTATATGTTCTCTTACGTTACTCTCGTATTTTACCAAAAAAGAACAAAATTTGATATTTAAATTTTAAAAGTATAAGTTTATTTATATCGTTTCACACTTGCATATTATGCAATTATACGAAATAATAGTCGACTACGCGTCAGATAAATTTTAATCGCGAATAAAATTATCCCCGTTTAACAAAACAATATGTGTTAAGTAGAAAAAAAGAGAATAGAAGAAAAAAAAAATAAGCCAATGGATGCACCACGGTTCCTTTATTTTGGAATGCGAGTTTTTTCATCAACAGAACGCATACGAATATCATCCCTCGCGAAATGGACGATTCTTTTAGATTCTAACTAACTTTCGTGACTTTCCCACGATCCACTTGGTGCGTGAATAGCATTATATCTGAACGTGTGTATATCAAAATAATAAAAAGGGATGTAGTAGAAAATAAGGAAGAAAATACGAGATGAGAAGAGATGCATGCCAAGAATCGAGTGATACGGTGTTGCATATTAACGAGCGGATTAATAATCGCTCGTTTCGTCAGAACCCCATAAATCGAACCACTCTCCCCTCTCTCCCCCCTTCCTCGTCGGAGGAGGAAGATAATGATAATCAATAAATATTAACAATGAAAAATTTCAGATTATTTTATATACGTATGTAATAGATATTAATAATCATTCACTTTGTCTTTTAACTTAGAAAATTTCTCTCTCTTTTTATTTTTAATTCTACGAGAAGGAAAAAGGGCGAACTTAATTTTGTGTCACTGTGCGCGTGCATCGTAAAAATTCCCAATACTTTGTTTGGAAAAGAAGTAGATAGATAGATAGATAGATAGATAGATAAATAGAGAAAGAGAGAGGAGTGAAAAGAGAAAGAACGAGCTCGAAGGAAACTTTCTTTTTCTTTTTGAACGGTTGATAAACGGCGGCAGATAATTAACAACGGTCCAGCGGTATACACGTGCGTGGGCGATCTTTCACTCTTTCAAACTTGGAGATTCATCCTCTCTTTCTCTTTACTTTGTATCTCATTATCTTTCTCTTTCAAGAATAAAAAAAAAAAAAATTCCAAATTCTCGTAGTAGCACGGAAGTCTCTAGTTAGATTATTATCATAGATATAATAGAATTTGTTTTGTTAGATTTGTAATAATAAACGTAAACGCGTGCTCTTTTACGAATTCAAATGACTCATCTAATCACATTTTATCTAATGCTATCATAGAAATCGCGTTTTTTTTAATTAACTGCATATGGTTTTTTATTTTTTCGGACGGGTCATCCCATTCATTTGATTTAATCGTGTCTTCAATACGTTGTTCGATTGATTTTGTGGAACTAATAATCCAACGTTGCTACGTTTATTATATTCGGTTGTTTCTTCGATGATTAAAATAAAAAATAAAAAATATAAATATAAATGAAATATATTAAAAGAGAGAAAAAAAAGATAAAACACTCACCCTCTCCAGCAGTTGCCATAAAATTGTCGATCGTTTCAAAGAATCTGCAATGAAATAAAGGAAAAAGATATTTTTATTTGTTTAAAAAATGAATTTAATTCTTTTTATATATATCTCTCTCTCTCTCTTTCTTTCTTTCTCACATCGATTTCCTCATCGATGTTCTATCTCGAAGAATGATTTTTCATTGGCGCAAATTGCATTAATACGAAATCAATTTATCGATTTATTCCTTGATCGTTCACCGCTGCCATTAAATAATGATTAATGGCTATATTAATAAGTTGAGTCAAAAGGTTCTTCTTGTAATAAATCCATGGAAGAAGACTCCTGCGGAAGCCAAGAAGATACTCTTTGGAAATGGGTACCTATGGTTGTATACTACTACTACTACTATTACCCCATACACAACACCCGCCCCCTTTAACTCTCCCGTTATTGACAAGTTTCGCGGGGAAGCGGTACGAAAACTTCTGGTTATCGAATTTCAAGGGTCTCTCGTTAAAAAAATAATCAGCTAAATAAATATTCAAATATGGTAACCGGTCGGAGATGCAAGTGACAGTGTAATAGCTGTGTAATAGGTATGCAGAGACTCGCACGGTAAACGAAGGAATATGGTAATGAACCTTAAGAGCTTCGATGTTACACACCCTGAGTTACACAAAGTACAAGCCTTTGCGCGACGGAATGGCATTAAGAAGTCAAATCGATTTCGAATTACATCGTTAAAGTAAATCGCGGCCCGGCTCGATCTGAAAAAGTCGAATCATTAATAATTCACCCGATCTGAACCGTACAACGAATTATGACCATAACTTAACACCGTTTAGAGCATCCACCACCTCGATAAACTCGTATGCTAATGTCATATTATTTTTCCTTGTCACTCCGCGCCTGTTTAAAACAAAACAAAACAAAAATACAGAAAATCGACCCCCTCATTTTATACTTTACTCGATTACCGATTAACATTTCGCACCGAATATTACCATTGTGTTAAGGGGTCGATTAATAATCCTTATTTTTAAGTATTTTATATAACACCTTAAGGATAATAATCATGAAAACTAACGTTATCTTAGTTCGAGATAAACCAGATAAATTTGTCAATTGACTTAAATAATCGACGGAGTGATGCATAAATAAAACGATACGAAAGAAATCTGGAAAATTTTAGAGATTCGTAGATAGGGGATAACGCATTGTAATTATTTTTAAAAATGGTATCGTGCATCATAATCATCATCATAATCATTATTATTATTATCATCATCATCATAATCATTATCCTTCCTCCTCATCTTGCTCTTTTCTGTTTCAATTTTCTTTTTTGTATGGTCCCCATACCATCTCTCTCTCTCTCTTTCTCTCCCGAAGAAGCTCGAGAGTTTACTAACGGATTAAACCGCGATCTTCGACTACTCGATAAATTAACGCAAGGTGTTCATTCCCCCTTCTGCATTCCATGAAGATTCCATGGACATTCCGAACGCGCCAAGCAAGGTGGAACACTCTTCACTTTGCTCCCATACGATCAGCTTTGCCATACCACCCGCTGAGTCCGCATAATGTTCATTTCTCACATTGCGATTGCTAACATTTATATTTTCTCCTTACGATCGTACGTCCTGATCGGTGACCAGGTAGAAAAATCCCGACAACTATACTAAAGTTCTTTTATTTCTTTATTCTTTTTCTTTTGTTTTTTTTTTTTTTTATCGACAACGATAGATTTCCAATCGAATAAATTCACCCACCCACCCATTCAATAATTAATAACCAATTAAATTATAAATTAATGAATTATTATATCAAAAGAAACTTTAAATCTTTCGAGTATCTCGAACCAGACGTCCTATTTACAAAATTAAAATAATCTCTCGTGAAATATAAATTAATACTCGTGTAGGGTTTTCTTTTTTTTTTTCTCGATATATATAATTGCAATATATTTTGAAAGGTATAATATTCAGTTATAATTCAAGTAATCATTTATTTCATGATACAACGGATAACACGTTTTTTTAACTCTTCGAATCGTACAACACTTTCGAATTATACGCATCGAGTTTTCGAATAAAAATAAGTTGAAAGGAGGGATGATGTATTTTTTAATAAAATTCTAATTTATCTACGTTTGCCAATGGTATTCAAAGATATTACACAATTTTTATCCTTCTTTCTACTATCGATAATACAGTACGAATAAGATGTGGAAAACAAATCAATCAATAACTCTGTTAGAGAAAAATAACAGAAAAGGAGAAAGACAAAAAAAAAAAAAGAAATAGAAACGAAAGATAAAACTTATACATGATATGAAATATCGAATGATACTGATCGAGAGGCGCCGCCGGGGTGCTTTACGGCGCTGAACTTAGGTGAAAAATGATGGCCGTTAAATTCATTTGATTTCGGATTTGAATTACAGAACCTGTCAAAATCTAACCCCCCTCCCCTTTTTCATTTCAATTTATCCGATATAAAATAACGTTGAAAATGAAACTTGATAGTTAAACTCTTACCCCCTCAAAAACCCAACCACCCACCATCTCCGATAACTCGATAATTGTGTCGGTAATTTGGAAACTGGACTAACAAGGGCTCCATCAAACTTTACCAATTACCAATTTTGTTTTTAAACTTTACGCAGTTATACGAATCCCCATTAGATCTATAGATTGTTCAAAGTGTTAGACTTAATATTAATTAACCGTTTCCAAGAAAACAAATTGGAGATTCATGCATTCTTATAACACCACTTTGTTTCCTGTTAGATTTTTTACAGTTTAATTCAAAAGAAATTCTAGAAAAAATATACACAAGTTGAATGACAAGTTTTGACTCTACCACTTATCCCGAATTATACAAAAAAAAAGAAAAATGTTAATTTATATTTATTACCTTCTCAGTCACTCAATTATCGTGTTGTTCTACTTTTTATAATTTAATCGTCGAGTGGGATAGATCGTTGAAAAAAAGAAAAAAAAAGTTTCGAATAAAAAATATCATCCTCGTAGTTTGACGGATTTATTTTTTATGTCAGGATATTAACATCTTAAAACAGAAAGGGGCGAGGGGAATAAAAAACAACATACTGGCAGAATATAAAAGACGAAAAGTCGTAATTCACGAATCTATTGCCATTCACAAGTATTTTATTACGAGCGAACAAGTATTTTCCCTCTAACCCCTCCCACCCCCTTCTTCCCAACAGTCCCAAGTATCGAAGTTGCGTAAATTATTTCGAAAGAATCTCGGGTATCCGATGATCTACATAGAAGAAAAAAGAGATAAATGTGTGCCTTGTGTTTGTGTGTATGCTAAGAATCTTGCGAGTTGAACAAGAAACGAACGAACAAACCAGTAGAATACACTCTCGTGAAATCGCATAACGACGTTTATGGCAATACGATAGTCGACTTTAAACGGATGCTCATTTGAATATCGCGCAGTGTGTGGTCTTGCGCACGCGTCCGACAAACTATCAAACACGCGAGCAAACAACAACCAAGCAAACAAGTAACCACCAACCAAGTACCACAAATATGACGATCATGATCGTTAAAAAGATCGAAAAAGAGAGAGAGAGAGAGAAGGGGAGATGATTATTTCTCTTTCTATCATAATAGATTCATCCTACGATAAACAAAATCTTTCGTAAATTTCATCTTATTCGAATCGATGAATACAAAACGTGCCTGATCTAACAAGGGGACCTCTTACATTGGGATAACACCTATGGATTTTAGGGAGCTTTTGTATATTAATAGTATAATATTAGGGTGTTATCGTGGTAAAGTTTTTTTAGCCTAACGCGAAGCCATTTTTGAGAAAAAAGCTTTTAAAGTTTGGATTATATCAAAGCTCATTAAAATCCGTGGGTATCCCAGTGTAAGGTGGTCTCCTTTTAAAACAATAATGCAAATGTTTGTTTCTATGGAAAATTTCCTAACTTTTTTATTTTCTTTTTTGTAATCCTAAATTATGAACGATTTCATGCACGATTTCGGTTCGATTTTCTATTCGTTTTTAAAGAAAATTGATAAATATAAATGCACTTATCGATAATTTAATCGAACTACTTCGTTAATCGCGAGAAAAATGAATACAATATTGATCGATAGTTGACTTTCTTTTTTTTCTTTTTTTTTTTTTAAATAACATTTATCAATATGTGATCCATCCAAAATTATTTCTTTTAATTATCACAATATAATTCCGATATAAAAAGGCTTTTCCAAATTGATAGTTAATTCGTTCGAAATAAATATCAATCGTTAAAATTGACAATGTGTAATTGCAAGCATAGTACGAGCTTAGAAGGGGAACAATATACCGGATATTGTCCTGTTGATGCGTGAGTAACCTTAAATTATATTTTTTTTTTTTCCATTTGATATTAAAATTTTGGAGAATAATTTAAATAATTTCTTGCACATACACACGCACACACACGTACACAGATCGATATCGGTTGGAGAAGGATGGCAGACAGGCCAAGACGAACCTTATAAATCTCAAGATGAAAGTTATAGAACAGTACCGGGTAGTTATCGAAGTACCTTTCACACACCCCCGCAAAGGATTCAACCTGTCGTCCCACACGCACCTCTTCGGCAACGTATCGCACGTATTCCAGAACTGGCCGCGGGGGTGGCAATAGTCCAAAGACGACTCGATTGTAAATATTTTTCTCTTCCATCTTCCATTTCTTTCACATTTTTAAAAATATTATTAAATAATTTTAGCACATATATTTTCTTCTCTCTGAAAATAATATTTAACTCGCAAATAATTTCTTTCAAATATTTATACTTAAAAAAATAAATTGAATTATAAAAGGGTTAACATAAAAAAAAAAAAAAAGAAATTAGAATCAAATCATCGTTGTTCGAATTTCGGGACACTTTCCAATTGAAAATTTATATTCGTTGTCGAAGAGGGGGCCCACCCTCCCTCCCCCAATCAATGACATATACAATATATATTCTTGCCATCACCACCGTCATTTAAATCTTTTCCCCCATACACCAAACGA